AATGCCTATTTACACTGGCCATGACTTCAGCCAACAGAGGTCCCGGTGTGTCTCTGAAACTCTGGGCTTCTGTGAAACTCCCACTGAAGTCTGGACACCCATGGGTTGAGGACAGTTAGTTCCACTGATCAAGGTCTGGTTTCTTCTGCTTTGTTTGCCTTGACTGTGCTTAGCTTCCATCTGTCTGTCATCCTAGAATAGCAGCCAGAGAGAGCTCATGTGGTATCTCTTGGGCAGGAAGGTTAAGTCGCCTGGCACAAATTGCATTCAGCAACTAAATAAATAAGACAACTTGGAGATGGGCTTTTATTCATAGGAAACCAGATAGCCTTTTTGATGATAAAATATTTATTCCCTATTATCTTCTTGTTGCCAAGACTACTGCTTATGGCTCATTTCTTACAAGGGACTTGAGTGCTAAGGAGTTTACAGGAATTAGTAGGGTAATTTTGATTTTGAAAAATATCTTGAATGAGATTATGTTGTCCAAAACTGAGTGTAATTTGCCATTTAATGTTGATTGAGATCATGCTATATCCCACTTTGGTTCAATACTTCCTTTTTTTTAATCATTGTTTTTCTCTAAGAAACAGTATCTTCACTTTATAGCTTAAGAAAGTAACCAAACATGTAGTCATTTTTAAGGCAGCTAAGTGAATTAATCTATGTGAATTCATATAAGTGTTTAGAAAAGTCTAACTTCTCCAAATGAATATTTTGTAATAACTTAATTTAATACACTTTCATTATTTTAACTATTTACGAAGTACCAGCTAAGTCCTGCAGAAGACCCACAGGTATTAGGATCTCAGACCTGCACAGGCATTCTGTTTAGTGGGGTATTAGTATGGAAATATAGATCATTCTACACCAAGGCAAACTCTGATAAGCACTGTGTTGGGAGTAAAAAGTACTAGAGAGAGATGGAATTCCAACTGGGAGTATCCAAGAGGACTTTGAGGAAATGCTTTCTTTGAGTTGGAACTTGATAAATAATAAAAGTAGGTAACATTTTTGAGTGCTTACTAAATGTTAGAACTGTTCAAAATACTTTAAAACTTATTAATATTTCTTTAATTCTCTAAAATTAACATTATAAGTGAAGTCTTGTTATAATTCCCATTTTATATTTGCACAAACTGAGGCACATGCCAGTTAAACAATGTGCCGAAAACGTTGTAGAACTAATAAATAGTGGAGTGAAGACTCAAATTCAGGAGTCTTGCACCAGAAGGCATATTGTCATTCTTAAAGGAGGGGCAAGAATATACAATGGAGAAAAGATAGTCTCTTCATAAGTGGTTCTGGGAAAATTGGACAGCTACATGTAAACAATGAAATTAAAACACTTTCTAACACCATACACAAAAATAAACTCAAATGTATTAAAGACCTAAATCTAAGGACAGGCAGTATAAAACTCTTAGAGGAAAACATGGACAAAACACTCACATAAATTGCAACAAGATCTTTTTTTGACCTACCTCTTAGAGTAATGAAAATAAAAACAAAAATAAACAAATGGAATCCAAAGCTTTTGCATAACAAAGAAAATCATAAACAGGACAAAAAGACAACCCTCAGAATGGGTGAAAATATTTGCAAACAAAGCAACTGAAAAGATATTAATCTCCTAAATATACAAACAACTTATACAGCTTAATGTAAAAAAATTAAAAAAATAAAAAAAACACACCAATCAAAAAATCAGTGAAAGACCCAAATAGACATTTCTCCAAAGAAGACATAGAGATGACCAGCAAACACATAAAAAGATGCTCAGTATCACTAATTATTCTAATTATTAGAGAAGTGCAAATCAAAACTACAATGAGGTAAATCCTCACACGATCAGAGTAACCATAAGCCAAAAAATCTATGAACAAAAATGTTGGAGAGGATGTGGAGAAAAGAGAGAGCCCTCCTATACTGTTGGTGGGAATGTAGATTGGTACAGCCACTATGGAGAATTGTGTAACATATCCTTAAAAAGTTAAAAATAGAACTACCATATGACCCAGGAATCCCATTCCTGGGCATACACCGAGAGAAAACCATAATTCAAAAAGGTACATGCACCCCAGTGTTCATTGTAGCACTATTTACAATAGCCAGGACACAGAAACAACCTAAATGTTCATCAACAGAGGAATGGGTAAAGAAGATGTGGTGCGTATATACAATGGAATATTACTCAACTATAAAAAGGAATGAAAATTGTGCCACTTACAGAGACATAGATGGACCTATAAGTAAGTCAGAAAGAAAAGAACAAATATATATTAATACATATAGTGGAATCTAGAGAAACTGTACAGATGGACTTATTTGCAAAGCAAAAGTAGAAATAGCAATATAGAGAACAAATATATGGATCCCAAGAGGGGAAAGGAGGAGGTGGGATGAACTGGGAGATTGGAGCTGACATATAGTATATAGTACTGTGTATAAAATAGATAACTAATGAGAACCTGCTGTATAGCACCAGGAACTCTGCTCAGTCCTGTGTTGACCTAACTGGGAAGAAATCCCCAAAAGAGGGGATATGTGTATACATAGGCTGATTCACTTTGCTTTATAGCAGAAACTAACACAACATTGTAAAGCAACTACACTCCAATAAAAATTTTTAAAAAAAAGAGAGAGAAAGAGAAAGAAAAGCATTCAAAACTGACCTCACAAATGCAAAAGCTGTGAACTGGGAGAAAGCTTGGAAGGTTCAAAGGACAGAAAGAAAGCCAAAAGAAGTGCTTAGCAAAGATGGTGAGAGGGGTATGAGACAAGGTTTGAGAGAGCCTTGTATTTGAGGGTAAAGTATTTGTGTTTTATTCTAAATGAAGTGGGAAGTCGTTGGAAGGTTTTAAGTATGTTTTATTTATGTATGCATTTATTCATTTATTTATTTTTGGCTGTGCTGGGTATCTGTCAGTGCACGGACTTTTCTCTAGTTGTGGTGAGCAGGGGCTACTTTCTAGTTGCAGTCCGTAGGCTTCTCACTGCAGTGGCTCCTCTTGTGGAGCATGGGTTCTAGGGCATGCGGGCCTCAGTAGTTACAGCACATGGGCACAGTAATTGCTACTTCCGGGCTCTAGAGCATAGACTCAGTAATTATGGCACACGGGCTTAGTTGCTCTGTGGCATGTGGGACTTTCCCAGATCAGGGATCGAACCCGTGTCTCCTGCGCTAGCAGGTGGATTCTTTACCACTGAGCTTCCAGGGAAGCCCTTAAGTAGGTCTTAGGTAGGTAAATGGTTTCAGTTCAGTTGCTAAGTCATGTCCGACTCTTTGCAACCCCATGGACTGCAGCACGCCAGGCCTCCCTGTCCATCACCAACTCCCAGAGATTATTCAAACTCATGTCCATTAAGTCAGTGATGCCATCCAACTATCTCAGCTTCTGTTGTCCCATTCTCCTCCCTCCTTCAATCTTTCCCAGCATCAGGGTCTTTTCAATGAGTCATTAATGGTGTATGCTTTTATATTTTGAAAAGACTACTCTGGGTAATATGTGGAGAATGAATTATAAGGGGACAGAAATGAAACCAGGAAAATCAATTAGGAGGCAAATTGCACCAGTCCGGACAAGAAAGATATATGGCCTAAACCTTGAAGGAGGAGAGATGGATGGATTAGGGTTACATTTTGGATGCAAAGTTAAAAAGATTTGAATTAGGTGGAAGTTATAAGAAAAAGGAAGGTACCAAGAATGACCCCAGAATTTTGGGTTAAGTAACTGAATGGTGTAGTGCCAGTAATGAGCTGGAGAGAACTGGCTTGGGGACAGGGGGAGTTACAAGTTCTACTGTGGACATAGTGGGACAGCTCTGGGGGTAACTTGGGTTGCCTCTTTAAGGATGCTAAAGTATGGATGAGAGAAATGGATACAAGAGGAATTACAGATATACGACTGACAGATGTGATTTATATTAGGTTGAAAGCTCTGGTAACTTCAGGTTTTGAGTCTGAAAAATTAGAAAAGAAGCAACCCCATTACCCTACATGGTAGAGCAGAAGTTTGGCAAAGAGAAGGATTAATTTAAGCCAAGGAATCATGAGAAAATTCCCAATTGAATACTGGGCAAGGATACAGGCTTTAGAATATGGAAGACGGGTTTGAATCCTAGGTGAGCCATTTACCAAATATATGTAACAAGTTTCTTAGTTGCCCCAGCCTCCATTTCTAATCTATATATTCAGAGACACTCAGTCACATCCAACTCTTTGCAACCTCATGGACTGTAGCCCGCCAAGCTCCTCTGTCCATGGGGTTCTCCCAGCAAGAATACTGGAGTGGGGTGTCATTTCCTCTTCCAGGGGATCTTCCCCACCCAGGAATGGAACTCAAGTCTCTTACATCTCCTGCATTGGCAGACAGATTCTTTACCATTAGCGCCACCTGGAAAGCCCTTCTGACCTATAAAATGAGAGAAATAATAATGATAAAAATTAAATATAATGATATATGCAAATGCTTAATACATAAGAATCATTCAATAAATACTGTTATCACTATCTCTTATAATTCGTGTTATAATAATATCAATATAAAAATAACATTACCTTTTGGGATGTGTTTCATTTCTGTTGATTATGACTAAGATAATAACGTTCTGATCCTTAGTTCCTTTTAAGCAAGGCTTGCAAGGATATTAACCCAGATTTTATATTCAACTCTTTTTGCTATATTTAATCATCAAGACAAATTGCATATTATTTATGTACTTTCCCCGATTTACAGGTCAACACACTAAGGCTCAGAAAGGGTACGATGTCTAAGGTTATACAGCTAGGAATTGGAGCCTATCTAGATCTGGCACACCTAGATCTAACTTGCTCCAAATAATTCTGGACTCTTCCCGAACAAGTCAGTATAAGATAAAAGTACCATTGTATCACATTGCCAGTTCTCTGATATCTATGCTGAGAGAATAATTGTTTTATAGAAATGTTATTAGCAAATGCCACGACAGTTTTCACAGTATCTCATGGAATTTTCTAGTTCTGGACAATGTTCCACTCAAGGCCTGTCTTTGGATGACATGAAGAAAAGTCTTCAGTTCTCAACCATTGACAAATATGGTAAGTATACACGTTCATCAGATTGACTAAGAAAACTACCCCTGGGAAGGTGATATCTGTTTGATAATGAGGTAGAGAAGATTCTATTTTGTAGCAAGTAGAAATGAAGGGTGCTTTTAAAAACAGTATAAGTGGGAAATTTGCTCTTGTAAGTCTTATATAAGTCTAGTTATCTTTGTGTTTAATAATGTGTACATAAGTTTGTAAGTGTATGTACAAGTATATGGGAGTGTGTGTACCTGTGGAAAAAGTACAACTCTTATGAAAATAATCTCCTACATCTCATGACATTCCAAGCACCTTGCTGCCACCTTATTGAGTTCACTGCTTCTAAGCCCCACATCACAGAGCTGTAGGGAAGAGGAGAAAACAACAGATGAGTTTCCACAATTGCACCATATCCTAGGGAAGTATTTCCTCTTTAGCAAGTACCCGAGGGTAAAATGGGAACCCAGCTATGCTCTCAAAAAGCTGGAGAGGAGGTGAGGGTCTCACTGATGGGATCCATTTTGCACAGGACTACTTTAGAAAGAATTAATAGAGCTCTTTGAAATAGTTAGCACAGTTCTATGCTTGCCCCTGGAAGACAGAGGATGGGCAATAACCATTATCATCAGCTCCCATATTAAAGTGCCAAGTCTGTGATGTCCTTTCGCCAACCTCCAAGCCTGAAAGGCTCTATATTTTATTGGAATTTTAGCACAATGTGCTCATGTATTCATGGGAACTTCCTTTGACAATATGTAGAGCTGAAAAAAATGTATGTCAGTTAAATAGATCAGATTTATTACAAGAACTGGGTTTGTGGAAGAATAAATCATATGTTATGTTCCTGGTTCTGTGTTACTGATGCCAGTAGACCCTGCAGCTTTGGGATCCTCACCAATGCACTTTGTCTGCAGAGTATCAGTACCTAAGGCATTAGGAAGCCTTTAAGAAATGAAGGGGGAAAATGTTCTGGATAGATACGACAGACTACTTGGGAACATTAAAGAAAGAAACCTTTGTGCTTCTGACTCCCAGGACATGTCTAGAATGCAGCCGAGTGCTTTTCATCGTCAGCTTTACGACATAATTGGCCACTCCAGTAACGGAGAAAAATATGTGCTAAGTGTCACATCATCACATTTTTTTATAGATATCATTTTTTCAAACCTTTACAGATGTGACTGCACAGCCACAAAACATAGGGCACCCTTTGAAATGTGTGCTCTGACCAGGACTCTTTTCCTTTCTCTGTGGAGTTTCAAGATGAGGCACTTCTTAAGGATCTGTTTCTTAAAGGGATAATACATTGAAAAGAATTCCTCAGGATGGAGAAGTTAGACAAAAAAAGATGTAGTCATACGAAAATAGGTTTTTCTTATGTGTATATGTACCAGGGGTAGAAGAAAACATGAGGGTGTTTGAATGGAGTGAGAGTCCCAGTAGATGAAAAAGATGTTTTCAGTTTCTCCCACTAGGAACATCACATTGTACAAGACAGAACCCTTTAATTGCCCTCCATTTCCACTTCATAAACCACTGGTGGTATATAACAGCAACTTTATGAACTGTTTCTTCCCCAAAGAACAGGGCTAGAGAATGCAGATAAAATTAAGTACATAGCTGTACTTGAGACCTTTCACCCTTAAGAAACAAAACACACAAACATGGTTCAGTCTTTTCTTAAAGCCATGGTCAAATTTCATTTGGTCCCTCTTAAGCCAACTGACTGCACAAAGACTGTCTCTTCAACTCTGGTGATGATGGTATCAATGATAAATGTCAGCATCTATGTCCTGCTGATTTTGCTACCCATACCCGAAGGCAAGCCTGCCCACACTAGCAAGAAGGATGCTCACAATCAGATTTCCACTGGAGCCCTATGGAGAGAGAGGCATGGAGCATCGTAGACCAGTAAAATTGCATGTGGTACATTAGACAGTTGATTATACAGTAATGAGAGAATTACGAGCTTATTAAAGCATCTATCTATGCCTGGGATGGAGTTGCAGCTTCAGGCTGAACAAAAGGAAATATTTTTGCTCCAAGATACAGATTTTTCCTCTGCCCAGAGTTAGGATTCAGTAATGTGACTCCCGCTTCCCCTAACTGCAGCTGGCTGGGGCCAGCCCCACTAGCGAAAGGAGCCCTTCAAACAGTGGTGGCTGTGCCTTTCCTGAGAGTTTATGTGCTGCCTAAGAGATGCTGATGGAGACCTTTCTTATGAAAATAAATATGCCCATTGAACTGCATATCGCCAGATGTCTAATGAAAATGTGGATGGCTGAGTTGGTTTTGAAAACTCAGCTACCAAAAGGGAGCAAAAGCAGCATTAGCTACTGACAAATGTGCCCATTTTCACAGAAACAGTGAATGGCTTCCCTACTCAGAGTGGAAAGGTAACTAACTACTTCCCTGTGCACGTCCTACGTTCTCTAGGACCGTGGCCAGATCCTCAATTTTCTGGACACACCCAGGACTAGTGCTTCACTGAGCATCGAATGCAACTAGAATTCAGACCTAAGCATTGATGCACACTTAAACATTGGAGTCTCAGAGAGAAAAGAAAGAACAATCAGAGCCAATCTAATATAGAGAATACTCTGCTTTTCTCTATTGCCATCTATATCTCCCCTTTCCAACAGTCATCATCTGTTTCTCACTTACTATGTGTCAGACACTGCTAATTGTCTTATGTGTGTTACCAACTTTTTGGCTAAGTACCATTACTTCTCCCCTTTACAATGAAGACACTGAGGTTCAGAAAGGTTAACAAAAATCACAGAACTGGTAGTGGTGGAGCCAGAGCTCAAACCCAGATTTGAGTGATGTGAAGCTCATCCTTTTAGCCATCATGATATTACCACCTTCCTGAATTGTACCTTTCTTTACTGCAAACTGTCACCTGGCCAGCTTGGGTTCACATCAGACTCCCATCATTGATGTTCCTCTGGTCTCAGCTCTCTGTTGTCATTGTAAATTTTGCTTTAGTTTTATAATTGCTTGCCAGCAATGGGCAGACAGACTCTGTTCACAGGAGCCAGGAGAAGCTGCTTGGCAGCTGTGTGTTACACTGGGTGAAGCTGTTAAGAAAAATGGGGAGGGGACTTCCCTGGCAGTTCAGTGGTTAAGACTCTGAGCCCCTGATGCAGGGGGCCCAGGTTCAATCCCTGGTCAGGGAACTAGGACCCTACATGAGGCATGGCATGACCAAAACATTTAAAACAAAAAAGAAAAAAATGGGGAGATGGGCTGAAAGGCTAATAAGTAACGTCTGAACTTTTTTCCTGATGCAGGCTACGTGTCTGATCCCATGAGCCCGATGCATTTTCATTCTTGCCGGAATAGTGGCAGCTTTGAGGATAGCAGCTGACAGCATTCCACATTTACCTAAGGAGAGTTTTCCTCCAAGCTGACAGTAACAATTCCAACCATGGCAGGCTTGTTTCCAATTATAATATTTCACCCTCTAAGGTCTCCTTAAATTGGCTTGCTTATACTGGTCCTATTTAATTCCCTACCACAAGTTGGGCTTTGGATTTGGGGCTGAGGAATGAAATGCAAAAGAACCAAAACAAAATGTATTTGAAGAATTTTTTTTAATTTTGTACATTAAAAAAAAAAAATTCATGTTGTTGCTTGGAGATGGGGCCTCAGTCCATGGTGGGGACTTAACAATTATTGTGTCTTCCTAGACTGAATTAAGTTGACTTGTGTTTGAAAGCCATGTGTTTGATTTCTTAGAATTGTTCATTTTCTTATCTCATTATGTTACTTTTAGTGCCCAGTTCTGTGATTAAAGATTTTTAGTGGCATACAAAATTGATTCAGACGTGTATTTCATTCCAACAAGACTTACACGAGGTACACCTTTCTTTCAGACATACTGGTAAAAAAAAGTAATGATCTTCATATGAAGAAGCTTGCAAATATATAACACAATTATTTGGCCTACTCTCTACATGGTGCCAAGTGCTCTGTGCTCTGCCTGAATGACCTGCTGCTGTCATCACCAAGGTGTCACAAATGCCATCGGTACCGCTATGAAAACAACCCACAAATGCAAGGCTGTCACTCATACCAGAGTCTGGCTCAGTGCACTGGGAGAATAGCTAAGACGCCTGCTGCCTTCAGAAAAGGAGAAATCTGCCCTTCAGTCTCCCAACCAGGGAGACAGGAATACTTCCACCAAACAAAATCGTTTTGCCATTCAGCGACAGACCTGGCAAAATCAAGCAGGAAACAATGAAAATTCAGTGTGATAATTGCTGCTTTGCACCTTAGTAAGAGAAATAACATTAGTAAAGGAAGATTGGGCACTCTCTCAATCAGGGTTACTGGATCTCAGAATTATTGGTGGAACTGACTCTCTGTGGGGGCTATCCTATGCACTGGGGGATTTTTAATAGCTTTCTGGCTTCTCCCCCCTCATACCAGTAAGAGCTCCCTAAGTCACAACAATCAAAAATGTCTCCAGACTTTTCTAAATGTGTTTTGGGGGACAAAATTGCCCCAGGTTAAGAGCCAGTGCCCTCAATCTTGAGATTACGGGCCTGAAGAGAAATAAGAAGAAGATAGATCCTGACTCTGGCTGGCTGCATTTAGGCAAAACTGCTTTCTCCTCCTCCTTAGTAATGTGCAATCATAGACAAAAAGAGCTGAATAAGTTCTGATTGCTCCTTCTATGTCTGTGGCAAGCTGCTCCATCCTCCCCGACCCCCTAAGAACTAGAAATTATGTTGCTTGCGGGCAACTTCTATCAGAACAGCAACCCCACCTCTAAATCCTTCTGAACATTTTCTTATGACCTGTGGTCGCAAAGTTGAAAGCCCCCACGTGCGCTGAAGAGCTTGGCGACAGCCCTGTGAGAATCCAGAGGTGGAAGTGAAAACCATGGTACTTCCAATTAGATTTATCCTTTTTTAGCCCCCTGCCTTTTCATTTTCCCACCCAATTATTCTGGAGTCTCACGTACTCTATCCCACCAACCAAGTCGCCAAGGGGCTTTATAATAAACAGGACCCAAGGAGCCTGAAGTGGCCATACAGGCAAAATACTTTCTGGCAAAGACAGAAAAAAAAAAGAGGAAGGAAAGGAAGAGGGCTGGTTAAAAAGCACCTGTCTCCACAGCTCTCCCTCTCGTCCTCGGCTCTAGCTGCTTTAGGAAATGAGCCAGCACCAGACTGGGAAACTTTGGGGCTTTTATGAGTTGAGTTGAAAGGAGTACCTTTGAAAGTTAAAAAGTTTTGAATATGTACATACATACCAATTTTAACTAAAAGATTCGCAGTAGGGGTAATGCCGAATATGGGTCTATGCTGGATAAAACGGGCATCCTCCCAGGTTCCCACAGAACAGAGCCCAGATCCAGAGAAATGACTCTTCGCTTCTGAAATACCCCTCTTTCAGAGAAGGATTTTCTAGAACAAATTTGTCAAGCTCCCTTTCTTTGTTTCCTCTAACCACCTTCTCTCTCCAGATTACATCTCCTTATGTTGCTGCTTCCCTCTGGCTCTTGTCTTATCAAGTATCTGCAAATAATGAGACTAATGTGTCTTGATCTCTGAGAAGGGGGACCTTTTCACAGATGCCAACCTATAACTCACAAAACCTTTTCATTACTGTGCCTTTAATGGGGCCCAGGGATTATCTTAGAGTTGTCTCGAGATCATGGGTTTTTTTTTCTCCTTGCTAGAAAAAAATGTCTCACTAATTGCTTTCTTTCTATGCTGGTAAAAAATGGACTTCTATGATCATGTTTTTGCATGCTTAGCACATTAAAAAATTTTTTCCATGTGTATGCAGCACTGAGCTCACTTAGAGGATGTTCAATTAGCCGTAATTGTAAGCCAAACTGCAGCAGCTCCAGGAGAGAGTTATTCCAACACAGTGATTGTTTGGGTTAAATTATTTCCAAAGCTGACATTTTCCTGAGAAAGAGGGAAAAAATGGGTGCCAGTAGTAGGGAAAAGGACCAGTGATAGACAATCCATCTGAAATGAAAGATCTGATTTCTTTCTTTTTCTGTTCTCTGCCTTTCTTTCCTTAATTTCTTCTTTCCTTCCTTCTTTCCATCCTCCCTTCCTCCTTCTCTCCCTCCAACAATAAGCATTAAATTTGGAGTCACTTCGACCTTTTACAAAAGCTATGTGACCTTGGACAAGTCACTTTACCTACCTGAGCTCGTTTGTTAGCTATTTGATGGTGATAATACAAATTATGTTGTAAAGTTGCTAGAAGGATTGCAAATAATATAAACTGCATTGCAGAGCTCCTAGCACACCATAGTCAATATTGTAAATGTTGTTTATTATATTTCACCATGCAGCCAAAGAGCTGTTCTACAGTAGAAGAGCATTAGAAGGGTAGAGATTTCTCTCTTGTCGATAACCATCGACATTCCTAAAAAACCTACCTTTGCAAACAGCAAACTGCCAAGCTTAGGCTTCTGAGGCAGTTGGAATCAAGATCCATCAGCCTTAGGCAGTGATGTCTTATTTATACTTGAAATAAAACCTGGAGAGAAATGAAATTCTTTAAATGAAATAGAAGAACCAGAAAGAATTTCCCAAACAAGGGGGCTGATAATTTTAAATCTATTTTTCTGAACCCAATAGTCCAGTGGTTAAGAGTCCTCCTGCTGATGCAGGGGACACAGGTCCAGTCCCTGGGAAGATTCCACATGCCTCGGAATAAGCCATGCGCCACCGCTACTGATGCCCGAGCACTCTCGGGCCTGTGCTCCGCAACGAGAGAAGTCGCCACAATGAGAAGCCAGTGCTCCACAACCAGAGAGTAGCGCCCGCTCACCACAACTAGAGAAAGCCTGTGTGAAGAACCCAAGACCCAGTACATCCACACATAAACCAATAAAAGTCTTTTTTAAAGTAGAAAATACGTTTATTACCTACTGTGTGACAAGAACTGTTTTAGATGATTTTAAGGGTATTATTACAATTAGCAATAGTTCCTGGACTATCTCTGGAAAGAGAGAATGCTCTTCCTTATTTTTAAGTGGGTAAATAATGAATCCAAGTTTCTATAGAACAGAATCGGGTTTCAAAACTCAGCTTGTCTTGCACTAGTATCCATGAGTTTTTCACTACATAGTACTGCCTCCACTGTGATGGAGAAAAAGGGATAAAAATAGCAACATTCACAATCCAGAATTGGGGTAAAAACAAACAAATCTGCAGTTCTGCAGGCCTGAGGAAAATTTGGGAATTACCCGGGAGAAGTTGCAGGGACCCAGAAAAATAAAAAAGCAAACCTTTCTTGATTATTATAGCTCATGATTGCAAAGTAAAACCAAAAAAAAAAACCCCAAAAAATCATCATCATTTTCTCTGTTTTAATTATGGAAAAAAGAGGGCTGGAATAATCTCAAGGTTCAGAAAACATACATTGTTATTTTCTAGCCAGAAAGAACCAGAAATGATTGACAGAAGCAAGACTCGCACCGCGATAAGCAGGAACAAAAAAGTTATGAGGGCAAAGCACAGCAATTAAGGAAGCCAAGGAGTTTCACATTTTCCTCTCCTCATTAGCACACTGGGCAGGGAAAGTGAGGAGAGATGGTGTGGCCTCTACCAGTAAGATCTGAATCCTTTATTCCTTCCTAGTTTTGCGTTGCTTGTAGTTACTCAAGCATGCAGACCGCAGAGCTCCCCCTGATCAATTCCCTTCCGTATTTCAAGAGCCACAGGGGCAAAGATGAGCCATTTGACATTTGCAATCCCTTCACAGGGGATCAGTTGAAGGCTCAGCTGCTGCCGTAACAGACAGTGGTCCAAGACTGTCAGCTCAATTAGCACCATATGCAAAACATGATGGAGAAGCAAAGTGCCTCTCCCTCCTTGGACATCCTACCTTTTAGAAGGCTAACTAGATATAAAAAAGCAGGGGTTGTACATTTCTCCTCAGGCCTGAGATCCAAGGCAGCAAGCAGCCGACCCAGTGGCAAGGTGCTAATTAAATTAGGCCTCTTGAATTAAAACACTGCCACGGGTGCCAGGCCCTGCTGACGAGGACAGGTCTCCAAAGCACTCTCAGTCTAACTTTATGTTTAATTAGTGAGATAAAAAGAATACCATCTCAAATAATGTCTTTTAAGCAATGGACTCATATGCAGGAAAAGGTATCTTACCATCTTTAAAGAAGGTTTTGAAGCTCACTAATTTCACAAACTTCCATCTCTTCTTTTATCTCAACTAATCAGGAAGGGGTGATTCCAGCAAGACCACGAAATGCGATAAAAATAATTTGAATGTTGGTTTGCCCTTCAGTTTTTACTCATAATAATCCATGGTCTGCTTAACAACACTTCAAAAATTAATCCACAGTGAAGAGTGTCAGGTTCTTCTTTCAGAGGAT